GGCTTATGATCGAATATATATGTATATTGATTTCAATTACAACACAGAATACAAAGTGCACAATGCTCACTTTATATTATTTTTTATTACAAATATATGTACTGTAAAAATGATAAAAAATAGTATTTCAATTCACCTCATACAAGTACTGTAGTGCAAGCTCTTTATCATGAAAGTTGAACTTACAAATATAGAATTATGTACAAAAAACTGCATTCAAAAATAAAACAATGTAAAAGTTTAGAGCCTGCAAGTCACTCCCAGTCCTACTGATTGTTCAGTCAATTGCTAAGACAAACAAGTTTATTTACATTTGCAGGAGATAATGCTGCCTGCTTCTTGTTTACAGTGTCACCTGAAAGTGAGAACAGGAGTTCGCATGGCACTGTTGTAGTCGGCGTTGCAAGGTATTTACGTGCCAGGTGCGCTAAAGATTCATATGTCCCTTCATGCTTCAACTACCATTCCAGAGGACATGCATCCATGCTGATGACGGGTTCTGCTCGATAACAATCCAAAGCAGTGTGGACCGATGCATGTTCATTTCCATTATCTGAGCCAGATGCCACTAGCAGAAGGTTCATTTTCTTTTTTGGTGGTTCGGGTTCTGCAGTTTCCGCATCAAACTGTTGCTCTTTTAAAACTACTGAAAGCATGCTCCACACCTCGTCCCTCTCAGATTTTGGAAGGTACTTCAGATTCTTAAACCTTGGGTCGAGTGCTGTAGCTATCTTTAGAAATCTCACATTGCTACCTTCTTTGTGTTTTGTCAAATCTGCTGTGAAAGTGTTCTGAAAACAAACATGTGCTTGGTCATCATCCGAGGCGGCTATAACATGAAATATATGGTAGAATGCGGGTAAAACAGAGCAGGGGATATAAAATTCTCCGCCAAGAAGTTCAGTCACAAATTTAATTAACGCGTTATGTTTTTAACAAACACCATCAGCATGGCAGCATGTCCTCTGGAATGGTGGCAGAAGCATGAAGGGGCATATAGATGTTTAGCATATCTGGCACATAAATACCTTGCAATGCCGGCTACAAAAGTGCCATGCAAATGCCTGTTCTCACTTTCTGGTGACATTGTAAATAAGAAGAGGGCAGCATTATCTCCTGTAAACAAACTTGTTTGTCTTAGCGATTGGATGAACAAGAAGGAGGACAGAGTGGACTTGTAGGTCTGAAGTTTTACATTGTTTTGTTTTCAAGTGCAGTTATGTAACAAAAAAAACTACATTTGTAAGTTGCACTTTCACGACAAAGATTGCACTACAGTACTTTTAGGCGGTGAACTGAAAAATAGTATTTCTTTTATCATTTTTACAGTGTAAATATTTAAAATAAAAAATAATATACACTTTGATTTCAATTACAAACACAGAATGCATATATATATATTATATATATATATGAAAATGTAGAAAAGCATTCAAAAATATTTAATAAATTTCAATTCGTATTTTATTAACTGTGCGATTAAAACTGCAATTAATCGCAATTTTTTTTTAATCATGTGAGTTAACTGATTAATCAACAGCCCTAGTTAGTTTTCTAAATATCTTAATTCTTTACCTCATTAAAAGCACAGCTATTTCTCGCAGTTTGATCAGTTATATTTTTACAGAATAAACACTTTGTTTTTCCACTATGAAGTTCACTTTTTTGTTACAAGTGATTGTAACAACTCTTAAATTGTGTTTAATTTAATGGAGGGGAAATGACTGACATAATGCATAACGTACAGCAGTTTCTCAGATAAGAATAGTCAAACTGTGGCCAGGGCAGCAAAACTGGGTTCATTTAAATAGCAGCACTCTTCATTACAAAGCACCTCTCCCTACTAACAGGGAAGTTTATTGCTAAGTTGCCTTGCACAACAACTTTTTTAGTAACAATTATGAAAATTATTTACAACTAAAGTAAACTGATTTTACTTGGAATAAAGTACAGGAGGTTTAAAAATTCATCCAGACACCTCAAGGAACAAAAGTCATAAAAATACTGTTAAAAAGTAGCATAAATTGACAGGCAGAATTGCTCCATAGTTCATGAAAAAAGTACAAAGGTCCACAAGAAGCACTAAAAGGTAAAGATTCCATACAACCACAAATAATTGATTAGAGATAAATTAACCACATAATCAAAAACTGATTTGTTTGTAAGATTTTTCCTCTGCAGTTCAACAGACAAGTGTAGCTTGATTAATCAAAGTCAGAAAAGAGGTTATAACAGACTACATCTCAGTTTTTAAGTTGCCATAACCTACATTGATGCACAGTTAGTCCAATAAGCTATAATTTATATACCATTTAAGTGCCATCTCATATGTGCTATGTGAGAAAGCCCAGGATGACCGTCTTACAATTATTCAGCTAAAGAAAGTCAAAATATAAAGATAAACCCTACTGAATTGTCTAAACCCAGAATTCTCTTAATTGTTTAATTCATATATTTCAAGAGAGAATAACCCTACTGGAACTATTCCAGTGAAGTGTCCATAAAAATCCAGGCATTCCAAGAGCCATGGAGGATAAACTAGGTTATCTTTTCCTGTATGGAGACAAATTCCAACTGTATAATAAAGCCACTCTTTAGAGCTTCTAAAAACCATTATAATGTATGTAACTAGAGCCTGATGTGGCTAGCATAGAGGTCACTATTTCCCATTGAAAATCAATGGCAAGAGGACCAAGCTCTTAAGCCCCCTTCCCCCTCCAAACTCATGCAGTGTATACAATTTATATTCTTCAAAACAAAACCCCACATCTAGGGTTAAGGAACAAGGAAAGTCCATTATCTTAACTCCACCTTTGTTTTCCATCCCCACTTCCATCATTCTGTTCTCCCCTTCTCCAAAATGACATCTAGAGGATGCGTTTGTAGCCATTTTAATTATCTTATCCTCCTCCCTTCCCCAGCTTATTCCATATTTATCCTGGATAAAGTTCTTGTGGGCAAGTTTTCCCATTTATTCCTAGTTTTCCCAGTTTGTACATTACAAGCATTATGGATGCTTATGAGCACAAGGGAATGGCACGTGTGACAAACTCATTTTGTAGTTTTCAAAACTTGTATTAGCCCACATTCAGACTTAGCAATCTCACTAATGAGAGAAATCAGCTTCCTTCTTTCCTCAGAAAAAAGTAACCCTGCATCCTCTGAGTTAAACATCTCAAAGGAGAGGTGGTTAAGATAAAGTATTTTTCTACCATTAGTAATCAGTTCAGCCAATTAGGAACATCTTCAGTGATTGCCCATTATTACTTCAGACAACTCACAAACTTCGTTTTCAGTTATCAAATATTCTGACTACTACAGGAGAAGTGAACCCATTAGGATGCGTCATCAGGCTGACAGAACACCGAGGCAGTTACATATGGGACAAACAGTAGGATCTAGGCAGAGAATCAAGAGCACAAAATATTACTACTGGCAAGTGGTTCTTCTCCTATATTTTAATTTTGCATTTTCCAATGGCTTCTAGGTGTGACTCAGCCATCCCATTGGACAGACACATCAGAAATATAGAAAAAGCAAAAAGGTGAGAGGAAGGTCAAATGAATTAGGAGAATAAGATGTTTTCAAAAATCCATTTAAAAATTTAAGGAAACTTACAAGATCTTAGATCAGTATAACAGGAGTTACATCAGTCACCTCTTGGCATTGAACCATCAATTGATTATCCCATGATCTCATCATAGTGTAGCAAATTGAATGTATTTTATGAACTAGAGGTCTTGGAATTATTTCAAGAAAGAAAAGCCACACAAGGTGAATACCTTGTCACCAACTGGTCACCAGCAGAGTAGTCAGTGCCGCATTGAAAAACCAGGTCATGATGAGAAGGTCTCTCCAAAGGAAGTGGAGTGAGGAGCTTCTGAGAAGGGAAAGGATTATTATTCCAGTTCTGTCTCAAGGACTGCTCTGTAAACATAGTGACCCGTCCAGCCAGTACCTCAATAGTGTTGCTGCAAGAGCCAAAGACTCGGAAAAAGGCCTGAGTTTCATGGAGCAAGAAGCGCACTTCCAAGATCTCTGGTCTCGGCTTCAGCAAGTTTTCCTGGCTCAGGAGATCAGCCAGGGAGTGGAGCTCATAGAAGTCTGCTTCTCTTTGCAGCCTCTGATAGTCTGAGAAGTCCGTGGGCAGAGAAAGCTGGAGTGTCCTCAAAAAATCCAGGATGTAATTAAACAAAGTTCCATCTCTGTCCACAAAGAATTGTCCATTCACCAGCCTGAATTCATGGTCATTGCCATTCAACATCCGTGCTAACCTGGACTCTGGGAACCTCCGCAGGGTGGAAACCCATGTTGTAAATTTTGAGCCTCCCACATTCAGAATGGCCACTTCTTGATTGCTCATATTGTCTCTCCACCAATCAAGGTTAACACTGACCTATGTCTTTCTAACCAGACTATTCCTAAACTGCAAATCAACTGGGACTGCAAGTATCATTCAGTAATCTTACTGCATGTTTGGGATGAGGTGTGTAGCACCGCTAGGGTTCCCAGGCAACAAGAAGCGTAAATACAACTAAAGATAGCTGTTTGCAGGTCCTAGTTGCTTGGGAACTTGGACTCTTGAAACAAAAATAAAAAAATAAAAAATGAACAGCTTCCAAAGACTGTTGAAAAATGGTTGACTGACTCCAAGTTTTGAAAAACCCTGATAAAAACCAAGAACTATCCCCAAAAGCAAGACATTCAGTATAAATATTTGAGTTTTACAGAACCACCACAAGAAGATTTCATTTCTATACCACTGTGGGTGACCCACTGCTAAAAGAAATGTTAAATATACTTTAAGGCAACTCCACAATCATGCTCTGAAACGAGAACATTTCAGAGAAGTTGGAAGTGTATTTCACTAAATGTTTCCGATCTGAAAGGATTTGATTAATATGTTTGTATGAAATATCCATACAGAGATATGGTAATGATTTACTATTTCTTTATATATTCAATTATCCTAGAGTTAAGTCATGAAACTCACTAAACTAAATTCTTCCAGGGTGCACTGCAGCCAATGGAATGACACTGAGGAAGTCTACACTACAACTAGAGGTGCAATTGCCACACGGGCTGACATACCCACACTAGCTTTAATTTAGCTAGTAGTGCTGAGAATAGCAGTGAAGTCACAGCACCACAGGTTTCAGTTGAAGCTGTACAAGTCTGCCTGGGGTCCTGGATACATACTTGTGTTGCCCATGCTGCCATGTCACCACTGCTATTTTTATATGTGCTAGCTAGATTAAAGGTAGCACATGTATGCCAATCCATGCTCCAACTGCAGAGCGGAGATAAGAGCATGACCTATCTCAGGGCTAAGGAGTTTCCTAACACAAGAAGACAAAGCCAATGTTAATGGATGTGATTACACAGCAGGTTTACAGGCAGCACCCCATCTCTCCAGCTGTTGAAGTTATATTGACTGATGTGGAGAGGCAGAGAAGAGAAGCTCCCCCCTCCACCAGTCTCACATTGATGGGAAGATTGTGTTTTAGAGAGGTTTGCTTCCTGGCTGTTGAACAGGGTGGAACTGTCATTCTTTCACCTTAAAGCAGGCTTTGTTCTTACTTTCTACCACCACCACCAAGGGGAAGGGAATGGAGAAAAACTCCCTAGTCCATGCATTCACCATATAAGTACTTTACGCTCACTGCCACAATGAGCTGCACTGTATCCCCAATTGTGAGCAAGTGGGTGCATTTCTCAATAGGGAGCTTAAATTCTTTACATTAGAGGCACTTTTTAGAAAGACACAGAGATGCAGGTGGCTTTTAAAAACAAACAAACCACAAATCCAACATGAAGATAGCTCAATCCCTTGACAGGGCTATAGCTGGAAAAGTGTCATTGCACAGCATATAAGAGCACCTTGCAGCTTGTTCTGCCCCACTCACTTCCACTTGTTTCTCTTTCCTATTGCAATTTGTTCGAGACCACTGCCCTGAAGACTTTTTTTTTTTTTTTTTAAATAAACCCTGTAATCAATATCCAGTGTATATATAGTACTGCGTATACCCAGGATGAGGAATCAGTGAAATTTAACGTCTTCAGTTATGAAGAGATTCCAAAGAGTTAAAGTACCACTCTGTATTTTGCAATGGATGGCCAGTCTTAGGCAAACTTTGCAGCCCACCTCTCTTAGCAATCAGAAGTGTCCTTCCTAATTTCAAAGAACCTCCCACAACAAAAAATGTTGATGCATTTAGGGATCAGCCCTTTTTACTCTAGGACATATAAAATCATTAATACAGCTATATTAGTATTTGACTATATACATGGTTAGTTTTGCCTTATATTTTGGTTAGAGCAAGGAAGTGCATTATTCCCAAAAACATTTTGAAACAAGATCTCAGAAGCAAAAGTATGTTTTTCCAAAGTTCGGTTTTACCTTCCAGCATATATCCGTGCTTGAACTACACGAACAATAACTCAGTAAACATTCTGAGTATTAAATGCTTCCATCAGAAGCCAAAGGTTTTTTTTAAAACTGTGCATGCACTGTTAAGTTTTCTGCACTAGAGTTCTGTTCACTTCTTGGGCTTCTGAATTTGTGCTTTGGTAGTGGACATTATAACAGTTTATATTTGCACACAAATTGTGCAACATTATCCAATACCACTAGTGTATAATTTTTGCACTTTTCACTTAGAAGTGAAGCTCCATCTGTCATTTGCTCCCAGTAAAACACGGCATGGTCAGCTATCTCTGCAGTGTCTGCCAGATAGGATGAGCCAATTGTAAAAAGTTGAGTTTTCCAGTATTGAAGATTGTCAAAGACAGATTCCACAAAGGTCATTCTGGTGGCTCCAAGGATAAATAAGCAAATCAGAGAAGTCACTATAAATTTGTGTGAAAAGACTGAGGAAATCTTGAAATTAAGCATGCTGTTTTCCTGAGGCAAAGAAAGCTTGTCCACATCTACTAGCTTTATACCATCCCACTGGCTGGTATCGAAGTTCTTTATTGTGGGATTGATGTCTACACTGGAACAAGGCAGAGGGGTTTCCTTGATCACTTTGATTTTTATCCTGAACTCCTGCATCTGTTGCAGAAATATAATGGGCTCAGACACATCCTTAAAGGCTTCTGCAATGTTAAAAGCCATTCGCTGCTCTTGTAGAATTGTGTTCAGTTTATTGATTTCTGGGTCATAGGCCTGCATCACTGCAAGCTTCATGGTCTCAAAGTCAGACAGAATCTCATTTCTTTTCTGCTCCAGTGTGTGCTGCAGCTTCTCAAAGAACTCTTTCACTTTGTCTGAGTCCTTTGTCAGCATCTGCAGCGCTTTCCTCTTGCTTGTTTCCAAGGTGTCTAGCCGGGAGAGCGCATCCCCACAACGCCATGTTTCAAAGCCCTGAAACAGGGTTTCAAAAGCACGCTTCTCCTGTGAATAGGCATCTTCAATGGAGCAAAATACATGCTTTGTGTGGTCACCTCGAGTGGCACAGACACCACATATCAGCTGCATATCTGTCCGGCAGAAAATGTTGAGGGGCTGCCCATTGTGCACCTTACACATGGGCATTTTGGGAGTTACTTTTATTTTGTTATACTTCTCCACAATACCTTTCAGGGAGTAGTTGACTTGTAAATTGTTGATTCCTGTAACAGGAGTTTCCTTCCGGCAGGTAGGACACTTGAAAAGTGGGGGTGGTCTCCAGACCACACTCCGGACATTTCCCTCTAGGATCCCCTCCAAACACTTCTTGCAAAAGTTGTGAGAACAAGGTAAAACCCGAGGATCTTCAAACAAGCCACAACAAATGGGACAGGTGAGGTCTTCCTCTAAGAGCTCCATCACATCCTATGGAAAGAAGAGGGAAAAAATATTAGAGGGACTTGATAAGAACTATTTCCATTCCACCATCATTAGTCAAATGGGGAAGAGGTTACAGTAAACCATGCCAAGAGTAACTTCCATTTGAGACAAGCTTAGTATAGCTTGCACTGGCTCAGTGACAGAAGGCTTTTTTTGGCCCAAGGAGTTTCAAGGGGGGGTCTCAGCTGGGCTGATATGCATAGATTCATAGATTCTAGGACTGGAAGGGACCTCGAGAGGTCAT